ATTTCTTCCCTCTTATAGAAATTGACCCAGGAAGTGTAGGTGTGACAGACATCTCTCTAGGGATGTGCTTGTTCCCTGAGTTCAGTTTCCACTCATGAGCAAGTCCCGAGGAAGTTGGGGAGGAGGGGTGGGGTGTATTTCCTGTTATTTTCCTATTCTTTTTGTGGGATGCTAACATGATGCAGGTATCTTGACATCATGTTTGAGAGTCTGGCCATGTCATATTTTCAGGAAGTTGCATGTGTGGCTTGTGATACCGTCTCATATTCAGATTGACCTACTTTGACCTACTTTTAGAGACTGTTCAGCAAACAACCTTGAAAAGTGCTTCAAATTGCCCCAAAGTGCCAACTAATCTTTCAGTGAAGTTATCCAGGTCCGTCTAACAATATAGCAAGTCATTTTGTATCAGAATAGTCACTTTTTGACATTTCTTTTCATAGCTTTCACCATCTTTCTGACTATACATATGTCTGCCATTAGAGCTAGGATCACTAGCAGCTTGCTGTGTACATGCTGTCCTGACACCTGCTACAGAAGTCCCTCCCAAGGGGTCATAAATCAACAGAAATCTTTCATACTGTGGATAGTGTCTCACAACCCTTCCCTGCTTTGAGTGATATTATTGAAATGTGTCAATCATAAACTTTCGTTCTATAGAAGGGGTGACGCGGGTTGAAGGGCATGCGCACAAGTTGCTGGGTGAGAGACCTTCAAAATTAAAATGAGCTAAATAACTTTAAAACCGTTTTTTTGGTGGAAATTTTGTTGAATCCTTGGCATTTTTGTGGTGGATTGTACAAAGTAGGGTTTTGAGTGAATGTTTTTGCAAAAAAAATGGAGGTTTTCCATAAAGTTGCCTTGTTATTGGCTTTTCTGTTTGCACACACCCCTCCTGCTTGAGGGCCGGCAAACTGTAAACTGGCTGACCAAACTATCATCGGGGCTCGGCGTGTTTATCTCTCTATTCTATTTTTCCATACTACTAGTATTTCCAGCCGCGCCCTCAAGCCTGGTAGAGGCTATTTGGGAACATCTAAAGAATATTTAGAAGTAGGATCTCGTAGGAAATAGACGGTTTACGGCCAACAGGCGCTACTGTGGTGTATACTAAGAAGATGATGCTATGAGTATGAGATAGGGGCAGTTTTTCTATTCAAAACACGTTTCTTTAGTCAATTTGCAACAAAAACAACTAGAAAGATACTTACGATAAATGCACATAATGGGCGATGTTGCCACACGCCCTCTCCAGGTCGCCAAAGGTGGCGACGTAGGTGTCTCTATCTGACCCCTAGCAATAGAAAGAGAAGGGACGGCATTTAGAAATGACATTTTGAACAAGAGTTCCACGATCTCATACCTTGGCCAAATGATGTTAACCCTTGCGGGTGACGAATTCTACAATTTTAATCATTGATTTTGTAAATAAGAGCCTCATTTGCATGGATTATATCAGTTGATCATATTATCCACCCAATGACAGTCTTATCATAACAAAAAGGCTATTATAGCATTTCCTCATAAATTATGCAAATGAGGTCATGATTTGAATAAATTATGTTTATTAATGTTCATCTTCACTTAACTTCCAAATGTGGCAAGTATGAAATTCGGGGTGCAGCAGTTACAACTATGGAATTATAAGAATTTTCCATTAATTATGCAAATTAGGTCCTCATTTACATAATCTATATCCTCAGATGTTTTTCTCGTTCTCAAGTAGATGTCACAACTGTTTCATAGTTCTATTATCGAACAAATCAGATTTATAGAATTTCCTCATCAATTATGCAAATTAGCTCCTGATTTGCATAATTGCCATCTGATTATGTCAAGCATCACTTCACTGAGAGCCTATGGTGTGCCGAGGGAAACAGTAGACGCTGTGATGATGCTCTACAAGGACACAAGATCCATGGTTCGATCACCTGACGGGGACACAGACTTTTTCAACATTCATGCTGGAGTGCTACAAGGGGACACCCTTGCGCCATTTCTCTTCATCATTGCATTAGATTACATTCTGCGTACCTCTGTCGACCCACACAACAAGCTCGGTTTCACTTTGGAGCGAGCTAGGAGTAGAAGGCACCCTGCCAAGAGGATCACAGATGCTGACTACGCAGATGACCTTGCGTTACTTGCAAACAGAGTCGCAGATGTGGAAACCCTACTACACGCACCTGGAAGAGGCTGCATCCGGGATAGGACTGTATGTCAATGCCAAAAAGACTGAATATATCTGCTTTAACCAACATGGCAAGATTCAGTCCCTGAATGGAACCTATCTCAAGGAGGTGGAACATTTCACCTATTTGGGAGGCGACATTTCTTCCACTGAGAAGGACGTCTGCATTCGCATAGCAAAAGCTTGGGGGGCACTTAACGACCTAAGGACAATATGGAAATCCACATTGTCAGACAACATTAAAAGGAATTTCTTCAGGGCGGTGGTGGAATCTGTGCTTCTGTATGGCTCATCAACGTGGACACTGACAAGGAAACTTGAGAACAAACTTGACGGAACGTACACACGTATGTTACGTGCAGTGCTCAACAAAAGCTGGAAAAATCATCCAACCAAGGCAGAACTGTATGGGACTTTACCATCTGTGTCAGCCACCATACGGGAGAGGAGGGCCAGATTTGCTGGACACTGCTACAGACACAAAGACGAGCTCGCCAGTGAGCTGTTACTCTGGGCACCAACCCATGGACACTCCAGCGCAGGGCGACCCCACCGTACCTTCATCCACCAACTTGCTGAAGATGCTGGGGTGAGGGCCGAACACCTAGGGCAGCTAATGGCGGATAGAGCGGCATGGCGGGAAAGAGTGGACTTGGTCCGGGCAAATCGCCCGACCTGATGATGATCACTTCAACTACCTACATACCAAACATCACGACAATACGTCAACCGGTTCTTGAGTTATCGTCCTTCAAATTTTTTTCAACAAATGCTCCTGCAGTTCCAGAACAAGACGCTAGGGGACCCAAACTCATGTCACTTCTTCCCTACCCCAAGAGCTATCTACCAACCAAAATTCGTGACCCTAGCATGTCCAGAACATGAGATATCAAAACCGGAAGTTCAGCTGCAGTACCTAGGAAAGCCGCCAGGGGGCCCAAAATCTAATCATTTCTAGGTCTTATGAAGTCCTACCCACCTACCAAGTTTCATTCCAATCCATCCACTGCTTCTCGAGTTATCTTGCTAAACCACACACACACACACACACACACACACACAACACACACACACACAGACAAACGCTACTGAAAACATAACCTTCTTGGCGAAGGTAATAAAAAAAGAGAAATACTTTACCGTACAACTTTCCCCTAAACATCATAGCGAAATGGACTTACCACAAACGTCAGCCAGGCGGTTCGGTGAAGTGAACCCGCCGCACGGCGAGCCTAAACTCCGGCATATCACTGTCATACACCTTGGCTGAAATTGAGACCAGACAAGTGCCACCTGCTCCGAACGTCAGTCCAGTACTTGGGGCACGTAGTGAGTGCAGACGGGGTTGCAAATGCCACCGACAGTAGTAAAGTGGCGGCTCTATGTGATTGGCCAGGCCGCCGCAAACGCTTCCCATTGGTCCATTTTCAACCATCGATCAATCACTGGTGACACCACAACCATCTGAACATTCTAGACATCACGACAATGACGTATTGCAACTTTCAACGCTATTGATTGAGCTGAATATCTACAAAATCCTTGGGTTGTTTTCGGCCCTACAGCTGCAGTGACACTAATGTGGAAAATAATCAATACCTTTACTGGGAAAACAAAAAGTACATCTCACATTCAGAAAGTACGAAGACCGGACGAAAGCTGCACATCAGAACCAACAGAAATGACAGAAGAGTTCAACGAGTACTTTTCGTCATGCGCCACAAACCTGGCGAATGAAATCCCGAGGACAGAGGGGGACCCTCTCCGACACGTCCCGCAGTCAACATCAACCCTCTATCTACAGCCAGTTGACGAAACGGAAGTTCTCAACGAACTTCTCAAGCTGAGGACTAAGAAATCCACAGGATTAGACAAGATCCCAGCAAAGCTCCTCAAGGACTCTGCTCCGGTCATCGTGAAGCCATTAACACATATCTTCAACCTGTCAATAGCTACGGGAGAAATCCCAAAGGAGTGGAAAATGGCAAGAGTCTCCCCCATATATAAGTCTGGTAGTAGGGAAATTGTATCCAACTACCGTCCGGTGTCCATATTAAACGTTGTCTCCAAAGTCATGGAAAAACTAGTGCACAGCCAGGTAGTACACTTTATGAACAGTAGCAACCAGCTTACGACTTATCAAAGTGGGTTTAGAAAATACCATAGAACAAATACCGCCGTACTTAAGGTAGTAGAGGACATTAAGTCTGCATTCAATGTACACAAGGTTACGGTTGCCCTATTCTTAGATCTGCGAAAAGCGTTCCGCTGTAAATCATCAAATATTACTGGGGAAACTACAGAAGATGGGTATGGGTAACGGAGCAATAAGCTGGTTTAGTTCCTATCTCTCAGATCGCTACCAATGTGTTGTCTGTTGATTTACAAAATGAACGCTCTTCGTTGACCCTTGTCACATGTGGGATAGCGCAAGGAAGTATCCTTGGCCCACTGCTCTTCTGTTTGTACATGAATGACCTACCGCAAGTGTTGGAGAAGTGTAACATCCATATGTACGCCGACGATACAGTAATATATTACTCGGCAAGCACGACAGGTGAATGTGAGGAAATGGTATCTGAGGACATGAAAAGGGCGGCAAACTGGTTCACAGAAAACAGGTTGTCATTACACCCGGACAAAACAAAGTCCATGCTCTTTGGTCTCCCCAGAAACTACGGCATGTTGAAGAGTCAGTATCTGTAACTGACGGGGTAAACATCTTCAAACAGGTTCCGTCCTTTACTTACCTTGGTGTTACTCTAGACTCCT